ACTCTCTTCAGGCTATGATCCGGTCAGCAGCGACAGTCAGGAGTCCGGTGGACAGTGACAGCCCCTACGCGGTTCTTCAGTATGCGGACGATACTCTACTAGTTCTACGGGGTGATGTTGCTGATGTCCAAGCTTTGAAGAATATCCCGCAAGCTTTCTCAGAGGCCACAGGTCTAAAAATCAAATACAACAAGAGCACCTTAGTCCCCATTCACATGGACGCTGGCTTGGCAGCATACTGTGTCACCATCATGGGGTGTGCCCAGCAGTCTTTCCCTCAAAACTACCTAGGCCTCCCTCTATCGGCCTCGAAACTGCCAGTCTCAGCTTTCTCAACGTATGTCGACAGGACCGACAAATTCCTCTACTCCTGGCAAGCTTCCCTACTCAATACCATGGGCCGAGTCGTTTTGATCAACTCGGTCCTAGATGCACAGCTGGTGTACATCATGTCAGCAATGCAGATTCCTCAAGAAACCATCTCCCAGATAGACAAACGCCGCCACTCCTTTCTTTGGGCCGGCAACAAAGAATTTTCAGCCAGCAAATGTCTTGTGGCCTGGACCAACGTTTGCACCACAAAAGAACTTGGGGCCTTGGAATCAGGGAGTTCGGCACTCACAACATCTGCCTGCTGCTTAACCTTGTCCACCGCCTCCACTGCGCTGATGCATCGGCATGGGCACGGTGGATCAGGGGTAAGGCTGATATTGCAAACATGAAAGGGGAAAATCTTGGACATCACTGGGAGCTACTTCAGTCACTGCTACCACTTTACCAAGCACTGACAACGGTGGAATTGGGGGATGGCCGATCAACTCTTCTCTAGACGGATGTCTGGAATGGTGACGAGGCGTTGGAAGATCGTCTTCCACGGCTCTTCTCCCATTGCACCAGGAAAGATTCAACGGTGCAGCAAGCTATTAACTCCAACCTTCATGGCTGCTTTGTAAATCGAATGTCAACGCAGGCAAATGATGAGTTGCGGTAGCTTAAGGTTATCCTCCAACAAATCCAATTGACGGATCAACCGGACACACGGCTGTCGGCATTCAGTCGGACGAAGGACAAACTCGACACCTCGGCCATCTACAGGCTACTCAAAGCCCAAGGACATCAAGATGACCCCTCTTTGGCTTTTATCCGGAAGAACACGGCGCCACCTCGGGTTCAGATGTTCTTCTGGCTACTCCTCGAGGCGTAAATCAATGTAGGGCAAACCTATACCACAAGAACATCGTGGACCCGCTAAACCGCCTGCGGTCTACGGAATGGACGATGAGACGCTTTGATCACCTAATCTTTGAATGCCCAATCGCTACCACACGCTTACAAGCGGGGCTCGAATATATACTGATGGCCTACATTGCGTAAACGGCACCATATTCAGAGAGTGTCTGGAATCCCCGATGACCAATACAGTGCCTTCATCATGATGTGCGGCTGGGTGCTTTGGAAACGCCGAAATGCGTTTGTTTTCAGAAATGAAGTGATCCCTATCAGAACCATTTTTCTACAATGCAAATCTGACTCAGCAAACTAGAAAGCTCGTATGCTAAAGAGAAGCAAGCGAGTTGCTGAGGATTGGAGCACGGTTCTCCAAATGGCAATCAACTCGGTCCCTATGTAATATGTCTTATGGAATCTGTCTAGATGCTCTGAAATCCTAGCGAAAACCCCCTGTACAAAGTCCATGTAATCATGTAACTTGAGCTTTACTCAATAAATCAGGTGGGGACCAATCTTCCCTACTCAATACCATGGGCCGAGTCGTTTTGATCAACTTGGTCCTAGATGCACAGCTGGTGTACATCATGTCAGCAATGCAGATTCCTCAAGAAACCATCTCCCAGATAGACAAACGCCGCCGCTCCTTTCTTTGGGCCGGCAACAAAGAATTTTCAGCCGGCAAATGTCTTGTAGCCTGGACCAACGTTTGCACCACAAAAGAACTTGGGGGGCTTGGAATCAGGGATTTCGGCACTCACAACATCTGCCTGCTGCTTAACCTTGTCCACCGCCTCCACTGCGCTGATGCATCGGCATGGGCACAGTGGATCAGGGGTAAGGCTGATATTGCAAACATGAAAGGGGAAAATCTTGGACATCACTGGGAGCTACTTCAGTCACTGCTACCACTTTACCAAGCACCGACAACGGTGGAATTGGGGGATGGCCGATCAACTCTTCTCTGGACGGATGTCTGGAATGGCGACGAGGTGTTGGAAGATCGTCTTCCACGGCTCTTCTCCCATTGCACCAGGAAAGATTCAACGGTGCAGCAAGCTATTAACTCCAACCTTCATGGCTGCTTTGTAAATCGAATGTCAACGCAGGCAAATGATGAGTTGCGGCAGCTTAAGGTTATCCTCCAACAAACCCAATTGACGGATCAACCGGACACACGGCTGTCGGCATTCAGTCGGACGAAGGACAAACTCAACACCTCGGCCATCTACAGGCTACTCAAAGCCCAAGGACATCAAGATGACCCCTCTTCGGCTTTTATCTGGAAGAACGCAGCGCCACCTCGGGTTCAGATGTTCTTCTGGCTACTCCTCAAAGGTAGAATCCAATGCAGGGCAAACCTATACCGCAAGAACATCGTGGACCTGCTAAACCGCTGCACATCATGCGGAATGGACGATGAGACGCCTGATCACCTAATCTTTGAATGCCCAATCGCTGCACGATTACGGCGGGGCTCGAATACGACGATGGCCTACATTGCGTAAACGGCACCATATTCGTGAGTGTCTGAATCCCCGATGACCAATACAAAGGCCTTCATCATGATGTGTCTTTGGTGCTTTGGAAACGCCAAAATGCGTTTGTTTTCGAAATAAAGTGATCCCTATCGAACCATTTTTCTACAATGCAAATCTGAATCAAAGAAACCGGAAAGCTCAGATGCAAAGAGAAGCAAGCGAGTTCTTTGAGGATTGGAGCACGGTTCTCCAAATGGCAATCAACTCGGTCCCTATGTAATATGTCTTATGGAATCTGTCTAGATGCTCTGAAATCCTAGCGAAAACCCCCTGTACAAAGTCCATGTAATCATGTAACTTGAGCTTTACTCAATAAATCAGGTGGGGACCAATCTTCCCTACTCAATACCATGGGCCGAGTCGTTTTGATCAACTCGGTCCTAGATGCATAGCTGGTGTACATCATGTTAGCAATGCAGATTCCTCAAGAAACCATCTCCCAGATAGACAAACGCCGCCGCTCCTTTCTTTGGGCCGGCAACAAAGAATTTTCAGCCGGCAAATGTCTTGTAGCCTGGACCAACGTTTGCACCACAAAAGAACTTGGGGGGCTTGGAATCAGGGATTTCGGCACTCACAACATCTGCCTGCTGCTTAACCTTGTCCACCGCCTCCACTGCTACTATGCATCGGCATGGGCACAAATGGATCGAAATAAGGCTGATATTGCAAACATGAAAGGGGAAAATCTTGGACATCACTGGGAGCTACTTCAGTCACTGCTACCACTTTACCAAGCACCGACAACGGTGGAATTGGGGGATGGCCGATCAACTCTTCTCTGGACGGATGTCTGGAATGGCGACGAGGTGTTGGAAGATCGTCTTCCACGGCTCTTCTCCCATTGCACCGTGAAAGATTCAACGGTGCAGCAAGCTATTAACTCCAACCTTCATGGTCTGCTTTGTAAATCGAATGTCAACGCAGGCAAATGATGAGTTCTGCGGCGGCTTAAGGTTATCCTCCAACAAACCCAATTGACGGATCAACCGGACACACGGTACCGCCGGCATTCGATCCGGACGAAGGACAAACTCGACACCTCGGCCATCTACGGCTACTCAAAGCCCAAGGACATCATCAAGATGACCCTCTTGGCTTTTATCTAGAAGAACGCAGCGCCACCTCGGGTTCGAGATGTTCTTACGGCTACTCCTCGAAGGTAGAATCCAATGCGAGGCAAACCTATACCGCAAAGAACATCGTGGACCTCTTAAACCGCTCGGTCTCATGCGAATGGACGATGAGACGCTTTGATCACCTAATCTTTGAATGCCCAATCACGCACAGCTTCAAGCGGGGCTCGAATACAACATGATGGCCTACATTGCGTAAACGGCACCATATTCGAGTGTCTGGAATCCCCGATGACCAATCTGAAAGGCCTTCATCATGATGTGTCTTTGGGTGCTTTGGAAACGCCAAAATGCGTTTGTTTTCGAAATAAAGTGATCCCTATCGTAACCATTTTCTACAATGCAAATCAATCAACAAACCGGAAAGCTCGTATGCAAAGAGAAGCAAGCGAGTTCTTGAGGATTGGAGCACGGTTCTCCAAATGGCAATCAACTCGGTCCCTATGTAATGTCTTATGGAATATGTCTAGATGCTCTGAAATCCTAGCGAAAACCCCATGTACAAAGTCCATGTAATCATGTAACTTGAGCTTTACTCAATAAATCAGGTGGGGACCAATCTTCCCTACTCAATACCATGGGCCGAGTCGTTTTGATCAACTCGGTCCTAGATGCATAATCGGTGTACATCATGTTAGCAATGCAGATTCCTCAAGAAACCATCTCCCAGATAGACAAACGCCGCCGCTCCTTTCTTTGGGCGGCAACAAAGAATTTTTTCAACCGCAAATGTCTTGTAGCTCGGACCAACGCTTGCACCACAAAAAAGAACTTGGGGGCTTGGAATCGTGGATTTCGGCACTCACAACATCTGAGCTTTACTCTTGTCCACCGCCTCCATAGGTGATGCATCGGCATGGGCACGGTTCTCCAAATGGCAATCAACTCGGTCCCTATGTAATGTCTTATGGAATCTGTCTAGATGCTCAAAATCCTAGCGAAAAACCCCTATACAAAGTCCATGTAATCATGTAACTTGAGCTTTACTCAATAAATCAGGTGGGGACCGATTCCGCCCCCGTTGAAGTGTTCAAAAAAATTTCCAAGAACCTAATGGACTCTCCTTCTCCTGCCACCACCATCCCCATCATTCCCCTTATATAAACACCCACCTCCTCCATAACCCACTACGAACCACAAGTCCACAAATCTTGCCAACCGTTGCCATGTCTTCAATCTTTGCTATGATCTCGCGGGATAATTCCAGCATGGACTCAGACAAGGGCGCCTCCGTGCAGGAAAGATCACGTTCCGGAGCCTGAAGCAGAACGCGGCCAGGCTCGGGCTTGGCCAGCTCCGGGATGATGAGCTCCTGGAGATGATGAAGGAAGGCGACCTGGACGGGGATGGGGCGCTGGATCAGATGGAGTGCATCCTCATGGTCAGACTGAGCCCTGAGCTGATGGAAGAAGAGGCACACAGGATGTTTCAGCATTGATGTAGTTTGATCCTTGTTACTTGGTACAACAGAATATAGGTCATATTTTGTCATTTTGCTAGTCCAACTCCAATGTGATATTGCATTCAGAAATATTAATGTGGACATGCTGACATTGCTCAGATTATGATACTAACAAAAGCGGAAAATTGGACTACAAAGTGCCACGAGCATTCACTTTGCAGTTACCTGATGAATAATACTGTGTCCCGTTACCAGCGAGGGGAAGTTAGTTATTCCAAACTGTGTGCAAATACGTAGAACAAAAAAAAAGTTTTGTGATAAACCACATTACACGAGTGTCCCATTCCCTCAAGTGCACTACTCTCCATCCAAACTAGCTGTGTGGCATTTCCTGTACTCTTATGAAAGTTCTACTGGAGTACCACAGAGCTCACCAATCTCCTCCTCCAGCAGCTGCACAAGGTTCACTCCAGTCCTCTTGTATATCCAACCATTAGTTGTTGCATCCCAATCAAACCTAGAAGGCCCACTGCATTCATATCCAGATAGCATCTTTGTATAAGATAAAAATGGCATACAAGTTCAGCAAAGCGCTTTTGGGTATTGTACAAAATACCCAAGCGTGGGTCTATTTGATTGGAAATCAAAGTATGAATAAGTTTCACAGCAACATCATAAGACAAATAACCATATTGAATAAACTGAACCACCTATCACAAAACAATAGTAGAAAAATGACATGTACTCAGTACTCTTAAGTCCTTACACAGTGACAGGTTCGTGATACTAGTAAAATTAACTATTAGTGTAATACAATATGCATCTACCTTGAGAAAGGAGGATAATACAACATGGCAGACAAGACGATGGCAATCAAATTCAGGTGTATATTACGTATAATGAAACAAAAAACAACTGAGATACTAAGATAGCATTATTGTACCTCACAGGTGAAGATAGCCAGATTTGTTTGTTTGGCGTTTGCTTGTTTATAACATATGTCCCCAAATCCCGAAGCCTTAGTGTCAAAACCTGATTCTAAAATGTCCAAGAAAAGAAGGATGCATCAATAATCAAATACATGAAAAAGAAAACACATACTAGCAAGGATTGCATGATTCTCGATCACGTGTTGCAACTAACCCCGTACTCTATGTCGAAACCATCCATCTGAATGGAGTCACCATACTCCTAAAAAAGACATGAAGAATAGCATTAGTCAGAAGTATGCTGACTCTAACATGTTCGAGATATCTGAAGGCCATAACAAAGAGGATTCACTACCTCAAGTTTTTCAAGCAAATCATGAATCGTCTCATCTGCTAATTTGTGAAACTCATCCTCTTGCATTGCCAACCTGTTCAATGTACACAATCATAATCACCAACTACCCCATGCAGCAAAAGATTATATAATAACAGAAGTTCAAATAACCAAATTATAAAGTAAAAAACAGTCAAACATACCGAAGATCAAATTTTATTCTATACATTGTTGCAATCAACTAATACCAGTAGCTAGCCCAACTTTCTACATTTCAGTTTGTTTATTCAAGCAACTGTAGTCTCTTCTAACGACCTATTGTCCATTGTCACTATTTGGCAAATTACAGAATGTTCGGAGTACCTAATTTAGGATTGACACAGGTGGAGAGGACAAATATAACAACAAACATTCTTAGTCCCAAGCAAGTTGGGATTTGTAGAGAATGTCAAATGACTTAAATCTCAACAAAAATTGCTCTATCAAACATCCTACACATATGCTCTGTTCCTCTCCATTGCTCTCATTCATACTTGAAAGCAATCCAAATTACACAAGAATGCATTAATGGATCAATGTGCTAAGACTGCAAGGTAGAGAAACAAACTTGTGCTCCAATGCAGATGAGCCAGAGCCAGATACATCTCCTGCGGACTGTGTCACGGGCTGCGTCGATGAGATGGTCCTTGAAGATAAGAGAAAAGCAGCTGGAGACCTTCCCGATAGCCGCGCCATTGCAGCGGACACCATGAGGGACCGAGAGGTGGTAGCTTCAGGGAGACTGGTGGCCCAGAATAGTTGCTGAGTGCGGGATTGTAGCCGCCTCTTGGCTGTGAGGCCCATGAGAAGCTTACGCGATGCCATGGCTGCCTGTGTGTGTGTGCACCTATGCACCAGATGGCACTCAGAGAGATGGCGCAACCATGCTCTTGTGCTGTGCCTGCAAGGCCGCAATCAGTTCATGTAGCGAGATGGCGGCTTGAGGTCCAATGGAAGTCACCGCCTAGATCAGAAGAAATAACAACACAAGAAAATTACAACAAAATATAGTTCAACACAAGATCAGAGGAACCATTAGAAAATTACAATTGAATCCAAGAAAGTACTATGGTTTACATTACAAGACAGAAGGAACTAAAACTAAACACGTTCATTCTAACTGATTCATTCTTATAAGGCCTGCCTAACCTGTAACTGAGCAATAACATGTCAATTTGTTTTTTTTTTAAGTTAAGCATGTCACAAGGGAAACCTACTGATTGGGCAACATAATTGACAAGGATGACTTGCCACTTAGGCAGGTGTGCTCATGTCAGAGTCAGATCAAATGGAAGCTAGGCATCTAAGCATATGTAAGGAAAATGCAAACTAGCTAGCACCTCCAATAGAGGAAGAGAAGCTAATATAACTCACTTCAGCTAAAAATAGGAGGACCAGTCTAGAGCTCAGAAGCTTCAGGTAAAACGCATATTTATCTCAAACTTGGTTCCTTCAATTAGTTCTGCAATTTTAGTAGTGAAAACCAGAGAAGAGATGCATACTCACCTAAAAAATTGCTAACTTATCTTGAACTATATAGTCACAACACAAGGCAAATTCCCCTAAGACAGCAGAACAAATTAATTCTGAACCTAAAGATGCATCACAACCTGATGTACTAATTAGTCTTCAGAAATCGTGGGTTAGGCCTCAGAAAACCTTTAAGTAACTAGAAAGGCTAAACAAGAAAGGCTGCACATCGTCAATACCCTCTGTGACCCCGAGATTCAGCAAGAGAACACTTTTCCAATGCCTTAACAGTATGAAAGTCTCTCTGTCAGGACTGCAATTTGTGGCTACAAACTATTGGTGGATCAGGGTGATATAATGATACCCCCTTCTCTATTTTATGACATGGGCACCTGCCTTCGCCGATTCATTCAAAAGAGAGAGAGGATGGTATGCTATGCTATGCTGTAACTGCAAATATATTGCAGCAAGGTGAAAATTCATTGCGCAGTTGGCGGAGCTGGTGAATTTCTCCGCTTAGGTCCACTATTTACGCGTGTAAATCATATGCGCAGGTTACATACTACTGTGTTGCAATTGATTTAAATGAAAAAAATACGAAATAGCACTCGATTTCTCAAATGCCAAATACCTGCTGTGTTGCTCCTGCCAGAAGCCCAGACCGCCGGACTCCCGCTGGCGGTTGGGCCTGTCCGCCTGGGCAACGCCGGCCGACAGGCGGCAGCCGCACGAAGGCACGAGGCACGGCGGTGCTCGATTGCCCACCCCCCGAGCCGATTCGCCGCCCCGCCCCTCGATTCGCTAGCGCCGCCGCCGGCAACCACCGACCAGGCGAGTCCGCAACAGGGAAGGGCGAAGCACACGCGAGGGCGAGCAGGCCGCCTCCGACGGCGCTAGCACCTTCGCTGGCTGGCTTGTGCTTACTGGGCTGGTAGGTTGGTGGGCCGGCGGATGAAGCTTGTTGCTCGGAGGAAGGAAGGAACTCAGACTAGGATTTCGTAGGCCCAAATCCGCCATAGGTTCAGCAGAAATCTCAGAAGAGAGAAACGTCAAATTTATAAACTTTATTTTATCATCAATCAACAATTAGTTAGTCAAGTTGAATAAAAACTTGAATCAATAGGTTTGTTTTCAACGTACCTCTGAGATGTTAATGATTTTTAGAAATGAAAACATACTGTGAGATAAGTTAAGGTTCAAAATTTATTTTACATGTTTTTTTTATCAAAATTATGCTTATGCTTATGGCTCGAGGAATATTTTACATGAGATTGTTTTTGAAATTGCACCGACCAGTGCCAGTACAGCGTTTGGGCTACTGGGCTAAACGAAGTCCTTATCTGGATGGGGTTCTACCTTGGGCTGATCCAGTCCAGTACAGCATGCGCCGCAGCTGCAAGTCACAATTCACAAACTCATCGCGGTAGAAGCTGAAAGCGACTTTCACATACAACACGGGTGCACGCCTGCACCGATGGAGCCCGAGAATTTCACAGGATTACGATCTTCTTGGGTAGCTGCTGTTGCAAACATAATAAACGATGAACAATATAATAATTCTTCCTGCGATCGATCGAGCTGCTGCACGCGACACTCCAAACTGTTTGCTTACAGTGCATGTCCTACTGTCCTGTGATGATGAGCGATCGAGCATTAAGAAGCTGCAAGTGCATTTATTAGTGTAGAATAAACGAGCGAGCTAGGCGGCAGCCGGGCCGGATGATCATGCTCCATGCTCCATGCATGGTGGCCATGGTGGTCCTAAGATCTGCTCGATCGGTCGTATCAGTGAATTAGAAATGCAGTTAGTTAGCAGAGAGTATCCCATATGCTGCGCCAGCCCCAAATCTGCGTTGCGATCTGGATTCTGCATGGCCGGGGATCGGAGGGAATTGAAGCAGGCAGCCGGCCGGCCGGCCACCAGCGGGAACAGTCGGCAGTGCCCGGGCTGGGCCTGCAGCGCATGCACACGCTTCCTTGCATGCTCTCTCACGCACACGCCACTCCGATGGAGCTGAGGCTGAGCTGGTTGCTGTCAGCTTTTCTCTTCTCTCCCGGCCTGGACGAGACCTCGCTCGAGCGAATCCTATCCTTGCTCTCTCTCTCTCTCTTCTCGTCGTCGCCGATCTGCTGCACACTGCACATGGATCGTCTACTCGCCGTCTGCCGGCCAGTAGCCATTAATAAATTCGCATGCCGCAGCTGGAGAGTTTCTTTTGCTTCGTTCTTGTCGCTACAGCGGCGACGTACCTGACCTGACGACCAGCGCCCAGCCTGTATGTTGGCGCAATCTGCCATGGCAGCGCCAGTGCCACCACGGATGGATGACCACGCGAACGCGACCTCTCCAGGTCCAGCCGAGGGAGACAGGCGGGGTAAGTGTCTGTATTTACTCCTCCGACTCCGATCCGTCTTTCTCCTCCATCCGTCCCTGACTACTGCCTGCGCGCGCGCGCCGGTCTCGCTCGCTCGTTCGTTCTCTCTGCATGCGGATGCAGATGCAGATGCAGATGCCGTGCCCTCCCTGTGCTGTGCCCCCTCGAGGAGAGGACGACTTCATTCCTTCCTTTAGGCCTGGTTGAGTTCCCAGCTAAATTTCTAAAAAGTGCTATAGTAGCTATCACATCGAATCTTACGATACGTGCATAGAGCATTAAATATAGACGAAAAAAAACTAATTACACAGTTTGATTAGAAATTGCAAGACGAACGTTTTGAGCCTAATTAATCCATAATTAAACAATAATTGTTAAATAAAAATAAAAGTGTTACCGTAGCCAAATTCCCACAAATCACGAACTAAACACGGCCTTAGCCAAGCTAGCTGCGGCAGCTACTGGACTGTCACTGTTCCAGTACAACCAGTGCGCTGTGCACTACTGCTACCATCCTCCTTGCCGAGAGCCCCAGACGTACGCGCATTTACTCCACCTCATCTGCCTCCCCCTCCATCGGAGAAAGGCTAAGGCCGTGTTTAGTTGCTAGGCGCCGACCGATCCACTGTAGATGCACTGTAGCTACACTGCGTTTTGTTTTTATTTGATACTAATTGTTTAATCATTGACTAATTAGGCTCAAAACGTTCGGTCTCGCAAAGTACAACCAAACTGTGCAATTAGTTTTTGATTTCGTCAACATTTAGTATTACATGCATGTACCGCAAGTTTGATGTGACGGGGAATCTTCTTTTTGCATGGTGCCAAAGTTTGGTTTTTGTGGAACTAAACATGGCGTAATCTATGGGCGTGTTCGGCGGGTGATCGCAAGTATATTACAGCCTTCCTCTCAGTCTATTTATTTATGGGCGTGTTCGGTTGGTCTATAAGTCGTTTGTGTTGATTTATACAACTGATTTGTTGGGAGAGAAAAACACAGTATCATAGCTGATAAGTTAGCTCTTTAGCATTAATACGTGACCCAACTGTCTCTTTCATAGAATTTCTCGGTTTTGATATCTTAACCGACTATAAACTTATAGTCTATTTTTCTTCTCTCTCTCCTCTCCTCTCTCTTCACATCAGTATTCAGCCTGCTTGCTGTTATACTTGCTCTTACCCTCGTACCGTGCGTGCATGCATGATACTGACCGACCGATCGAGCGAGTCATCAACCTACGGCATGTTTATGTTTAGTTGTCTGGTTTATATCATTGCTAGTTCGTTTATGTGAGAAAAAAGTACTACTAGCTGATTTACGTAAACAATATCCATATGAGGGGGCTGGCCAGCCCAGCCAGCCAGCCCCAGCCGATCACGCAACTATGTGCCTATGCCGAATTGCCGAAGCCAGCCGGTGAAGCGCCGTGTACATACGTACGGGCGGCTTGTTCCGTCGTCGTCGTCGTGGTCGTCTACTGATAATCCAGCCATGCATGCGTTTCGACCCATGCCCATTATCTCCTGTCCATCGCCATCGATCTATCGGAGTCGGAGCAGTGCATGCTTCTTGCATTCATCCATTCATCATTCATCGTTCAGTACCACTAAAGCCATGTTTGAATCGTATGACAAAACTTTAGCTCTGCACTTTTAGTTTTTTTTATAGGGATCCAAACGAGGAGGCTAAAAATAAGCAAATGGCTAAAAATTGAACTAAAATCTTTTGCTCCTAAAAATGCTCTAAACTGGGCTAAACTCTCTCGGGGCGGGCGCTGGACGCCTCATACCCCTTGCCGCTCGTATGCATGGACGTGCATAGATAATTAAATGAGGATAAATCAGTTATCATAGATTAGAGAACTAAAGTTTAGCCCATAAATCAAAACAGCCTAGCAGAACTAAACTTTAGAGGCTAAACTTTACTCCTTGGACTAATGATCCAAACACCACCTAAGTATAGCAACTTAATCGATCCGT